GAAAAGTCCATATTTCTTTTACCTAAAATAAAATATCAATATCCACGGTTTAAAATTAGTTATTCAGTGTTTTATCCCATTGGCTTCCAGAGAGAAAGGTTTAACAAAGTCTGACTTTAAACCTGAACTCTGACTTGATCAAACCCGACAATGGGACTCTCAGTTCAGTTCAGTTCCAGAACAGACTACCTGAATCGCTGAATAAACTCAGAGTTTGTCCACTCTGCGTTAAGCACACGTGGGCGTGGTGAATGAATGAAAAGACAATCAATGGGGTGCTGATGCGATGATTCACCATGGCAACAGGTGATTGAAGCCACGTTTACGCATAGCCAGGTATTTACAAAAACGGATCTACGTTTTCAAAAATAACATTGTTTACAACAGATCGTTTTTTAAAAAAAATCTTCACGTACACAAACCCGCATAAACGTGTCGTTAAGAGCTGCTATGAGCTGCCAAACCTATAGGGGGCAGTGTAACGAGAAGCATACAGCCATGCTAGCCAATTAGAATCCTGGGAAAAAAACGCAAGAGCTCCTCCTAAATGTGCTGTTAGAGTACAAAACAAGTGAAACACTTGTGGGGGCAGTACAGAAACTGTTTTTCTGGTATTTTTTTTCCCCAGTGTGATGAATACTTGTAGATCAGATCATGAATGGTTTCGGTCTCTGATTTTAACATTAGCTTATGCAGGCTGCCTGCTATGCTGAAGCACACCATGACGACTCAGAGGTAACAACATGTGATATATAATCCAAGCTTTTCATGATGTAACAATCAAATCTGTAACGGTATGCTTTGTAATTGTGGATACTCCAGTTTAAATGAGGTTAGGATAGAACTCCAAATCTATGTGCATGTCTATAGATCTGCACATATAAATACTCCTTGAATTCATTAGTCAGCAGATTTCTTTAATGGATCAAGCAGAACATCGTTCCCTGATGGAGACCGAACAGCAGCCAAAGATGAAAATATACAGTCACTGCACAGACACTAAAGACACGCGTGTATTTATAGTCCTGCTGATTTTAATCCAGCAATAATAACTTCGGCGATTTGTTGCTGAGTTTAAAGGTGAGTTTTCCAAATCTATTCTGCATTTCACAGACTTTGCTCGACTCCATTTAAAATCGCTTCTTAATTCTAAAACGTCTTTTTTTTTTTTTTAGCTGCACTAAATCCTCACTCTGACATATAAATATATTTATTTACACACCAGCGTCTTTTCACTTGATCCTCTCAAATGAAAAATACTTGCAGCAGGAGAAGGAGACATGGATTGTCCAGCTGTCCAGTCTGTACCAGCATAACCACACACTGAGGCAGAGCAGCAACACAAAGCCCACATGCACCAGCACACACACACACACATGCATGTGATACACCGTGCATATGCAATTAATATGTTTCTGTGTTAATGTTCGTATGATTGCACTGACCAAATACTTGCACAAATTCTGTTTTGATTCTCGCACAACAGCAGTAACGTCTGTTAGAACTGAGCTGAAGTGAACTGAGCTGGAAACGTGGCTGCCAGGACGTTGCCCTCAAAAACCAGGAACTGATGATCTTCATCTGCGGTAGTGAAAACCCAGAGAGTCTCTCAACTCAGGGGCAAAACATTTAGACAATTCTCCAAACTTGCTTTCTGGACTAAAAGCCTGAATGTCAACTTTGGTGTTAATTCGATAATAAGTGCTGAGAGAGTGCAGAGAGTCAAGGGAGCAAACATAAAACCGAAAGTATCGACCGCGAGGGATGAAACGCTGATTTAACCACGATGTCTGTCTGTTGGTGTTCTTTGCACTGGATCGCTTGTTGGGTTGAACTTGCTGTCAAAGAATTATGCAATGAAAAATACACTTCTAATAGTTTTATTAGATTGTTAGATCCCGTGGGTGTGTCAGATTGGCCACAGCGAGGAACAACAGCTGATAAAAGACACGTCACACACGTCAGG